CTGATCTGCTGGCCGATTTTACATTTTTCACCATATCTAAGGAACGAATTGATGGAATTTCTTGAAATTTGATATTTGAGTTCTGGTTGTTACCGAAACTAACTGGCGAGTATTTCAGGGAATCCGGGTAGCACAAAGCAAAATTCTACTAACAGCCAATTTTACATTTTTCTAGGTATGTTAACTATAAGCTTACTAATGTTCTAAAAATTGGAAAGAAGTATTTAACAGACATTTTTATAATATTCTGTAACATTTTCACTTAACTAGACAATACACATTGCGGTCGGTTATGTGCTGACCACATCGGATTTTTTGGATTCACACACATATCAATCCATACACAAACAACTGTTACTTTTTTTTAAAAATAAATTAATAAAAAAAAATATTTCTTAATTTTTGCAAAAATAAACTTTAACAATTACACTGACATTATGTCACCTTTTCTGTCATGAATTTGGCATTTGAAGTGACTTTCCTGTCAGAACGAAAAAACACTCGTTTACAGTGTTCTCAATGAATAAAAAATTCGAATAATTTGAATTTTTTGGTTGAATGTCGGGCATATTCAAATATTTGTATGTATATACCAATATTTTTTTATTCTGCCTGCCAATCTACATATATTTTTTCAATTCCATTACATATGTGATTAATCATTTTGCAAAAACTGTGCACACTACTAAAATAAATTTTTTTTTTAAATTTTATCAGCACTTTCGATAAAATTTGTATGTACACTAGCCAAAAATTAAATTATAATCTAATTTACTATAAAAAAGAAATAAAAATCGACATGTTGTGTACATAAATACACAAAATATTATTTAGAGAATTCAAAATAATAATTTAATTATTTACTTCTTTTTAAAGAAAAACTTACAGTTTTTGGCGTTTCTCTATTATTTTACATGGGACCCTTTACTTTTTCTTCATATGATTTCCTAAATTTCATATTTATATACTTTAATATTTATATGCTGAAAATTTGTTATACAATTTTAAAATGTGTTAAAACGGAAGCAAAAACATGGAAATAAATCAATTCATACTAATCATGCTTTAGTTATAACCCTTAACATTAATTTGCATATTACTTAATTATTACCACTTAATCACGATATTTAATTTTTTTTGCTCCTTCAATTTACACGGCTTATTTTCTTAAAATTATTTCTTCCGGCTTACCTCATAACTCTTTCTATCCTAATCCTTCCTTCATTAATACGTAACATCACACTCACACACTAAATACATACATATGTATATGGTGTCGGAAAATATCTCATAAATTATCCGTTTTGCTACGAATTATTTCTTATGTCAGTAAAACATAAAACAAAAAAAAAATAATAAAATCCGGAAATAAAATTTTAACAGCAAAGAAAAAACAAAGAAAATTTCAACTTAAAAATAGAGAAAAAATAATTTTTTAATCCAACAATAGCCATAAAATAATTATGGATGCTTTGGCACGCGCCCTAAATGTTTTATTGTTTTTTTTTCATTTTGTTTTTATATTTTACTCCGAACACAATGTAAAAAGAGCAAATTTAACACAAACACACACTTAAAAATTTATTTTAGCATAAAATAAATTTAAGAGGTTAAACACAGCATCACATCTCAGCTTGAGCGGATCAAACAGTTTAGGAGTTGAGAGCGCTAAAAAAAAAATAAAAAAAAGGAAAAAATTTACAAAGTAAAACAAAATTAAAATTGAAAAGAAAGACAAAAAACAAAAAAAAATATCTTAAGATAAATTATTTTATTATACCAACTCTTCAGAACTCAAATTCGACTCTTCAGATGTGCTGGTTCATTTGTGTCGTGACCTTTTTTTAAAAATTTTTTTTTCAATAATGTTCTTGCCGTTTTTCTTGTTTTTTTTCTCATTTATTACTACTTTTTTTATATTCCCCTTTTCATTTTCTGTTATGAGCATTTATTTTATATAATACCCACTTACACATAATTTTATATCTCAAACGCTTGGTTTATTATACACACAATATTAATAAATTTTGATATTAATTTAAAACTCGAATATAGGTGAAAACATATTAGAACTCTTAATCACGTAAAAAACATGTTCGCACCCTAAAAAAAGGGGTTTTTAGATCATTTTTCTGTTTTCTATTACGAGTAAGTCATAGAATTTAAGAACATTCTAATTTAGATGTTTCAGTTTTTTTCAATTTCTGTTATTAAAACTAAAAAAATGGTACCTAATGTTATTTAAATATAAAAAGTTCAACAATTATAGGTAACGAACATTATATAAAATTATTGAATATGTATAGATCCTGTATAATATACAGTTAATATTATTAGAAAAATATTTAATGAGAATTCTATATTTTCATATACTACATACGGGAATGTTAAACTGATAAAAATTTTTGTTTTAATATTTCTTAACAAGTGTAACAAGCACAAATTTACATGTAAACTACTTCAAAACTAATTTTATATTTAACATTATTTAAAATAATGGTTTATATTTGATTCAAAATAATATGCAATCAAACTTATTAAATTGATTATTATTGCTTACATATATATCATAGCGCTACAATTAGCTTAGGTCTTAATTGAATTGTTATGCAAATATATAAAAACAACTAACAAAACTGGTTAGACGCACGTGAAGTAATTAATCCTATATTTACATAAATATGTGGATACTTTAGCTTAAATCACTATAATTATTTTAATTAATTGCTTTCACATATTTAAAAACAAAAGGGTAACTAATTTGCAGTTTGCTAATATTTTTAATTTTTGTGTAAAATTCTCTACTTAAGTAATATGCCTTGACTATTAACTCGGATATAGAATTCGTGATTTATTTTTTCTAATTAAAACCTGATAAAACATAAAATTTGTGAGAAAGAAAGCATTTTGTAGATATTTTTATGTTATACAAAGCATTTTTTACGTTATATCCCTATTGCAGAATCATTTGATGATCAAAAATTATCATTTTCGAATTTCCAATTAAACAAAAACCAGATTGAAAAACACTAGTAATTTCAATCAAATTAACTTATTTAAAGAGATTAATGAGTCGGTAAAATATTTTTTATTTATTGATATTAAAGTTTGAAAAAATAACACAAAAGTTCCTTGATAAAACCAATATTTTTATAATTAATTAACGCGGCAAAAATAAGTAAAATATAAAGCAAATTAATAATATAAGTACAATTTCGTAACAAACTTTTATTGAAATATTTTACACTCAATTTATTATAAATATTTTAGATCAATAAAAATTATAATTGAATTGTTATTATTAAATAATGATTTCATAGGAACTTGTTGGGAACTATAAATTTTAATTACTTACTAATTTTATAGTTTTTAAGCACAATTCATACATTTTTATGAAATAAATAAAATATATTTGTACTTGAATGAGTAAAATTTTAAGAATTATCTAGAAACATTAACTTTAATATTTTTAAACTGTTAGATCTAATGACCTGGATTAAAAGCGTGAATATAATTCTTCCAGAAATACCAAATACAGATAACTATTAAGCTAAAAATAAATAGAAAAATATCAAAAGGAAATAAAAATATTTTCAAATAAGTCAAAATTGAATTGATTGACAAATGACTTCAAAATTCGTAATGATCAATGATTTATTCATTTCAATTTAAAGTTCAAAAATTATAAGCGTTTAGAAATTATAAGCAATATTAAAGTACAGTATAAATGTAAGTTAAATTATTTTCTTAATTCACATTTGATTTGTGTTTAATTTTCGAACTTATTTTTTGTAAAGGGTTCTTGCAAATCAATTCAATATTTTTAAGGATTTTAAAATGTGAAAAACTTTGTGTCTTTAGATATAAATATTACAGTTCTGAATAACTAACAAAAAAAAAAATGTTTTCATACATACACTATAATTTATTAGAAAATTGTTTGCGAAATAACAAATAAATAATTCGCCGTACTAAATAATTGGAGTTATTTTAAGAAAATGCTTAAGTGATATAAAAATTTACTGTAAAAATTTTCAAAATTAATTTAATTATAGACCGAAGTCAGTACTAATTGGTTTGTGTCTATAATAATAACATCTGAATTTTTACGATAAAATAGCTATCGCTTAGTAATTCACTCCCCAAAATAACCCAGAATAATCTCCTGTACTATTTCACTACAAAAGGCAAACGTTTTTCGAAATTTTCTCATAATAAATATTACCTTAAATTTAAGCATAAACCTTTAGTTTTCGGCCAAGTTGTCTCTTTAATAAAATAAATAATTTCTCTACAAATTGATCTTGAAAATACCATCCAAATTTAATGCGTACTTCCTTATCGAAAGAAATGATCGTAAATAATACTTTTAATTAACTTATTCGGGGTGACATATTTCGGCGAATTACACTGCATTTTAATCAAATACATATAAGCAAACTAAACGACTTATGTATTAACAAAATGTATTATATTTATTTCAAAAAAGGTTTGAATCATTATAATATGATATTAAGTAATATGATTACAATACATAAATATATTTTTCGAGGTCCCTTACTGTTTATATATAAGGGAGCTCAGCATAAAATTAATAGCACAACTATTTAATGCACATATGTATACATACATATGTACAGTTAAACGCTAGCACTATAATACTCAATAGTTTATGCTTTTAAAGTACTGCAATAATCAATCATGTCATTTATTTACGTCAAGTTTTGTTATTACATTTGCAGTTTGTTCTGATAAAAAGAAAAATTTAATAAATATTCTGAAATCTAAGCGAATTTGTATTTGATTAACTTATCAATCAAATTATTTTTCTGATTTGTCCTAGTTAATAACAATTATTTTTTCTGTTTTATAATTTGACTTGTACGTGTGTAATTTAAGAATGTTTGATTATTACATTTAATTTAATTTAAAATTTAATTTAGAGCAATACGAAATTTGCCATAAACTCTAAGTTTTTTAATTTTCTTTTTTCTTTTCAGCTGTTCAGCGTGGACGTGTACCACCAACACAAACTGGTTTAATGCACGGTCAATATCAATTAGCAAATGGTGATCCAATGAGTTTTAATGGTCATTCATATTTAAGTTCCTATATATCATTATTATTAAGAGCTGAACCATATCCAACATCACGTTATGGTCAATGTATGCAACCAAATAATATAATGGGTATTGATAATATATGTGAATTAGCGGCTAGGTTATTATTTTCGGCAGTCGAATGGGCAAAAAATATACCATTTTTTCCAGAATTACAAGTAACCGATCAAGTAGCGCTATTACGTTTAGTATGGTCAGAATTATTTGTATTAAATGCATCACAATGTTCAATGCCATTACATGTAGCACCATTATTAGCTGCAGCTGGTTTACATGCATCACCAATGGCTGCCGATCGTGTTGTAGCATTTATGGATCATATTAGAATATTTCAAGAACAAGTTGAAAAATTAAAAGCATTACATGTTGATTCAGCTGAATATTCATGTTTAAAAGCAATTGTTTTATTTACAACCGGTAAGCTATTGGATATTCTTTATAAGAATGTTCCAGCTTTACTAACAAAAATTGTTATAAAAATTAAACAAAATTTTGATAATTGCACAACATTATTATTAACAAATAACAATGATAGCACATTAAATAACAATAATAATAATAACAATAGCTCTGGTGAAAGTTTAAATAATAGTGATAGTTTAAATTTTAATGATGAATTAATGCACATTATAAAAACACATTTAGATGAACAATACTCAGACATTTTACCATCAACAACCACAAATGTTGATGGTGATGTTAATATTACATCCACATTAGATAGCTCACAAACACAAACACAAACAGATAAAGTATCATTACATAGTTCAAAAGCAATCAAAAATTCTTTAGCAACTATCAAAAATGAAATAGAATCATCATTAACAGTTTCAAGTAATGTGAGAAATGAAAATAAAAACAATTCACGTTCTACTAAAAGTTCCCAAAATACAAATAGTGAAAATATTTCTACATCAACGAATAATACTGATGTTGAAATCCCACCTAATTCAGGAAATAATAGTAGTATTAGTGGTAATATTAGTAATATTATTGATCCAATATCAAATTTTGTTACAGCTTTTAATCCAATTACATCAGCTTCTCCTTCATCTAATACTGCAAATAATTATGGTGGTGCTACTTTGGGTTTTAATATTTGTGGCGGAAATTCTTATAATAATCTTAATAATAGTCACAATAATTCAATTGGTGGCAATGGTATAAGTAGTTGTAATAATAATGTAACGGCTGTTAATGCTGCTACTGTTGCTGTTAATGCAGCTGTTGCATTACATAATTTACATTACAGTAGTAATAATAGTATTAATAATTCTAGTAATAATACATCATCAGCATTTAGCAATAATTTTAATTTTAATCCAAATTTAAATAGTTCTAATCATATAAATTTAGGTAATTCTTTATGTAATAACACCAACAACAGTACAACGACATTAAATACATCTGGTTCACCGTTAAGTTCAAATCCAAGTACAGGTAGTATAGGAACATATAATTCACCAACATCGATGTTTGGTTATCATCAAACGCCACCACGTTCTTCGGCATTTAGCTCAGCATTCGATCATATGTTCCATCATAGTACACCATTTGTTAGTCATGCAGCTGCAGCGGCTGCTGCTGCCGCTGCTGCTGCAGCTAATAATAGTAATACGTTTAGTAGTTCTAGTTACCGATATTCGCCGTATCATTTCGGCAGTAGATGGCAATTGTAAAAAATTTTGTCTATTACTTTTATATTTTTTATACTTTATTCTACTAAATGGTAGAACTATTTATCGTACTCTGGATTTCTGTAATAACTTGTACTTAAGGCAATATATAGAATATTTCTTCAAGTTTGTAGGAAGTTGTTTAGTTCTTATTGAGATTCGACTTTACACAAATTAGTATAACATAATATTGTGAATGTAGGTTAGTATTGAACTCGATTGTGAAATCTGTATAAATGTAAAATTTAGAAATATTTATTCAGGAAACGTTAAGTTAAAATTCAGTTAATTTTTGTTTTGTAAATTAATTTGTAAAAAACCTTAGTTTACTTCTTATTTATTGTATTTAATTATTTCAACAAAAAGTTCAGTGGTATAAGAGAGACAGGAAGAAGTACCAAACTTTGTTTTAAAAATTATGTTAATTTTTCTAACAAAAATAATTCTAGGTCTTCTACTGCTCTCTTATACCATTCAATTTTTTGATTTACATATATCTTTAGTTTAATTTAGTTCAATTTAATTTAATTTAATTTCTTAAATATTCTTTTATTATTAGTTTTATTTTCATTTTAAATATTTATATTATTTTTAATTTAGTTGGTATTTTAGTGTATAGCGTTGAATTTTATTTATGTTATACTGTTTCTTTACATTTTAATTTATTTAAATTATATTTTTTTAATTTTTTTAATATTTTACAAAATTTCAACTTTCGTTTTAAAATAAATACAATCACATGGCAATCTCACTAATTACTTGGGTTTTAATTGTTTTTAATCAAATGAATTTTAAAAAAGAAATTCAAATTTTGAGTCATATATGTACGTTAGATCTAAGGGTTATAAATATACTTATAAGCTACACTCAGCTTGGAGAGCCGCCGCAATTGTAAATTTTTCTCCACAATTGAAAATTTTATGCTTTGCAGAACAGTTCTTTAGGATGTCATTATGAAAATGTTCCGTGTTCTTCTGGGACATTATCGTAAATGGAATTTGCGTGACCTAAGAATCTTGCAGAGAATGCAGGTATTGTGTACCTCGAAAAGGTATTGAAGAAACCTGCAAAATATAAATTTTGTCCGCTTTGCTAGGTGGAAAGTCCGTTTTACTAGGTGCTTGATGGAAAGAAACAACTCTGTAGGGGACTTATTTATTAGAACTTGTATTATTTTATAAGTTGGGCAATTGCAGAGTATGCTTTACATATTGATGTTTTTAGTGGCTCGACCAATATTTTCCTAGTTTTTTAATGGTGCAAATTGCATTGCAATCACTTCTCTTTGCTTTAGGAATTAAATACATATTATAAAACACTTTGTCTTAAACGCTTATTGTTATCAAATTATATATATGTTTATAATTGCACTGCAGTAAAAGCTTTTAAAATTAATCAAATTAAAAATTAATAAAATTGCATAAATTATATGTTATTAATAATATTTTAAAATATACAAAGTAGTCACATATGCACGTGCTTAAAAATACGTGAGCATATTAAAAATATTGAGTTACGCTTATCAAATCTAACGCCATAATAACTTTTGTGTATAAAAATTATTTTACTTTATTGTAATATTGAATTGGCCAATTTTAATTATAATTTTCAGTTACATTTGCTTTGCTTTGAATCTATTTTCTAAAGATTGCTTGCTTTTTAAGAAATCGCATTTTTACTACTGAACCGCTATCGTATTATCTTGTTACAACTCGCCTTTATATTAGAACGCTTAATTTGCACATTCTAACCTCGAGTAGTGTAAATCTATAATTTAAATGATTAGAAATTATATTCGCTAGGTTTTAAAAACAATGTGATGTAGAATTTTATTTTTAGGCACATTAATTTTTTATATGCTTTGGCTTATGCAATACTATATATATAATATGCTTTTGCTTACAATGCGAACAAATAGCATTCCCGTATTAAATGTGTTAATATGTTTTAAGGTTTAAGGTTTGTCAAAAAAAAATTACAATATTCTTAGAGCTAGATCATAAAACGCTTACTTTTTAATTTTATAGGGAAAATTACGCTTTTATAAAATAAGAAATTAAACGCTTCTGTTTTTTATTTTTTTTATTTTTTACATCATATACACATGTAGAAATTAATTTTCAATGAAGAGTCTAATGTGCTTTTGCTGAATTCCTAACTAGTATTTAAAAAACAAAAAGAAAAATCTATTAAATTTTTTAGATAAGAGAATTTTTATACTTGTGCTGTACCATTATAAATACTTACAATGTATTGAAAATATTATTTTTTTGATTCTGCTTCAATTTCTGTTATGGGAAAGTTTATGTTTTTCCGCTTAGTTCTAAATTTCTTGTGCTAACTTGGCTGACAATTTTTCTTTTGGCTTTTGCTTTAATTATCAATTTTGGCTTTTGCTTTAACTTATGCAATATCAGCTTTTAGTTTCTATTAAACGCTGCTGCTTCTAATTTACATAATAATTTCCAATTTAATGTAATAAAAAATTATACTGGAGCTGTATTGTAAAAATAAATGTTCTTTCAAATTAATTTAAAACCAAAATTTTTTTAAATTTTTGTTTAACCCAAAAAACATTTTAAAAATTTTTTTAGTAAAACGATTATTCTTTCAAATGATTTCGAATGCAATAATAATATAATTTTCTCAAATAATCATTCAAATTCATTCCTCTTAACTATATTATGCAAATTGCTAAAATATAATATTTAAATAATTTTTAACTTGAATTGCTACTTTCAATTTATAATTTGGTTTTTGATTTCAGTTTAATATTCAAATTAAATACATAAATATTTATCATATTTAAATATTCAATTTGATTTTGATTTGAGTACGAGTACAGTAAACAAAACGCTTATATGTATTATAATATTAAGCTGTATTAAAAATGCTTATTATAGTATAAAGATATTGGGAGAAGTGCATTCATATATTAAAGTGTATTAAAGTGTTTGTAGTTTAGTTTGCATATAATAAAATCTATCGGTATATTATTTTAAATTTTTAAACTCTTCTTACTGCATAGATACAGTACATAACCTATTTTAGTAAGTTGGAAATAAATGATTGTAATTTTGCTATAAATTTAAATTTAAATAGCAAGCTTTTTATTTGAAAACTAACAAAATCCGGAATATTCTCAAAAAATTATAAATTTATGCTTATCCAATAAATAGATTTAATTAAGCTAAAATTTCGCTTAAATTTTTTTTAAATCGAAATTCCAAAAATCAAAAAGAAGTTTTAGGTTTAGGTTTTATGATGACATAACACGCTCTAAATCTGTCATTATGACCCTAACAAAGAATAGAATGTTTTTGTTGAAATTCTAGGAAAATTTTATTGTATTATAAATTTTTTTAATGAATATAAAGTAATAGCAAAGTAACATGAACAAAATACTCTAAAATATTATAAAATAACAATGTACATACATACGTTATATAATTATATAAAAACTTATAAAGACCTGCAATAATTTGTTAAATAAAATTAATTAAAGTTTTAATTTAATTAAATATTAGATGTCACCTAATTTTTTAAGACTTGCAAGAAAATTACAAATTGGTATAATAATAATTTTTTTCTTTTACATTGAAAAATCGTGTATTACCAACATTACCTACTTTTATTAATTTTAATTTAGCTATATATACATATATTGCAATTTGTTGCAATATAGCTTCCTAACATATAATAGCACTGTTACATATTGTTACATATGAATTTTAGCTACTG